CCTTTCACAGTAATCATCAATCTTCAAAAAGATGTGCAAATATTAACAGGCCCCCAAATTCCCTGTACTACTTATGACCAGTTATGGTCTTTGGGGCGTTTACGGCAAGGAAGTGCCTCTTTGTTCTACTGAAGAGGGAAAAAAAAAAAGATTTTCTTTTTTCCTTTCTCTCCCCAAAACATAGGAAAAAAAAACAGATAGTATTTTATGAAATACTAACATAAAGAGATTGATCAGGAATCTCAAATGCCTAAGCACTATGCCCAGTAACTCTAGAGATATCACTTAAGATTTTCAAAAGGAATAATCTGTAAGGAACTCATTAAAGCATGGGCTTTACAATACCCTACAACCTTGAAACTAAATGCTTCATTTTAGCTCACCATTTAAGCTCACTATTAAAACTTGCTAACAAATCAGGGGCAAATAGGAGAATGGCTACTATTGTCAGTCAGAACCTTATTGACAGAGATGGCTCTGAAAGCCAACAGCCTCCTCTGAGCAATCACAAGACTTACCTATTTTGCCTTTTGACCCAGTAAGTTTTAAATTCAGTTTGTAAACAAATGGAAAGGAGAAGGGAACCATGTTTATGCTGGAACTTGCTTCTCTCAGCAAAACAGCTCGTTTGAAAACCCAGAGAGACAAGACCTTGACTGGAGGGAGGAAGAGGTCTCCTTATGACACTGAAGAAAGGAAAACCCTTTCTACAGGGAAGACTAAATTTTGCCTCAGCGCACCCAAATGAATGATTACTTTTTCCAAAAGATTTCTAAAGCACATAGGGATTTTCCTCTAGCAAAAGCAACAGGTACCTGGAAAAGAAACATAGGGACTCCTCTGCTTCAGATAAGCCGTTCTTACTGAAATGCCTGCAATATTAATAGACTAGGTGAGCACAAGTTTCCTTTCCTGAGTTACTTGAAACATAAACAAGGTACTTCTAACTCCAATTCTAAAATGTTTACGTTAAAGTCCAAGGGCAGAACCTATTTCTCTGAGTGTATGTACTTTCAAGACATAATTTTTCAAGTCTGAGATATATTTATGTAAATGTTACCTAAGGAGTTCAGCACCTTGTTCACTCAGAAAAACTTTTCCAACCCCAAATCTCAACAAAAAAATTAAATTAGAATCCGTTTTAGATAATACAGATGCACTGTAACCATCTATACTCAGTATGAATATACATTCTTTTGAAGGCCAGAAGAGACCTCTGCTTTCCCATTTATTTTATCTCTGCTAAGATGAATGTTGTTAGTATTGCAGACAGTTACCGCCTCCACCTTGAGAGTCACTTCATGTTCTTGCTGTCAGCCATGAAAGACTTTTCTCCTCCACCACCTTGATAAAAATCAAAAGTTGTACTAGTATCATCCAAAGACAAGGAAATAGTACTTCCAAGCACTGTCTTTGTGCAACAGGGATGCTACTGTATAGAGTATATATGCATATATATGCACATATGTATGCATATACACATATAACTGAAAATATAAAGAACAACCATCCAAGGAAGTTTTGTTTTTAATATTCTAACATCAAGTCATGAGCAGATTTAGTGGCATAAGCTGACATGCACACACAGGCAAGGCTTAGTTTGTTTTGTTAGGCAAACTTAATAAGTGCTGTTTGTTAGAGAGAACTTAATACATACTGTTTTATAAGAAAACGCTATACATAGATACAAAGAAGGATTTTCCTAGTCTTCCCCGCCACCCAAATATATGGCAAATTTATCAAGTCCAGTTGCAAATATTTAGCTGTATTCAGCAACAAGGAAAGCACAGCTAAAATTTTATGACAAATTAAATATTGAAATAAATCTCATAACTCATTTTTTTCCAAAGACTGAAAAAACAAGAATTCACATTGCATTTTTTTCCTATTGCAGCTAAGATACTGTGAACTTTACCATAGAAAAGCAATCAACTCCTTCTTTATCTAATAATTTTATGAGTCAACCTGTGTGCATTCCAGACTGACTAGCAACTATGCTGTTTGTGGCAGCACTTATTCAGAAATCATTAAATCGTGCCCAAGTTCTCCCGTTCTCCATTAAACATTTCTAAATTTTCATTTTTCTCACAGAAACAAAGACAGAAGGGATACTGAGTCAACTACTTCAACCTGCTTAGTGTTAAACATGACTTGTCTGAGGCAAGAACTAGGGACCACTCACACATTCACCATGAGTAATGCTCTTAGGTCAAGAGGACATACACTTGATTCAAGAAAATCTGAATTGCAAGTATGAAATAATAAATAGGGCTTCTCTGTTTTTTTCTGCATGACAAAAGTTGTAACTTTTAAATATGTCAGCACAACTACAAGTGCTGTATGACTTATCTGCAGTCTACCAGCAGTGTTTCGGTGTGATCAGCCCCCTTGGCTCAACTTGACCTAGAACTCAGACTTCAGTGACCGGTCATCACTGCTGAGGGAATTTTGACCTGTCAGGAGTCAATGGCAAAACTCTACATGGGTCATAATTTCACAAAGCATTTAAGTAATGTTTACGTTCAACTACTGTGAAATACGTTTGTCTGTATTACATAGCTACTTGCCCTGTGCTATAATATGAATGGACCATATACTCATATTAAATAAAGATAACATTTCAAAACCATGCGCTTTGCATGATGCAGATTATTTCACCAAGCAAAAACCACATGACAGCAAGCAGCAGTATCAGTTTTGCTAGATATCAGACAAGTTCATTTCATCTGTGACAAAAACCATGCAGCACCTAGTTTTTCCTGTCACCTCAAAAGATTAACAAAGTGTAGGCTATAGAAATACTCAGAAAATGTATTTATAATATAAATACATGTAAATAAAATAAAATTTATTTTAAAATTATTTTAAAATAAGCATCCATTCTTCCTTATTCAGACTGATTACATACAGAAGCACATCATGACCTCATTTATTCTTCATCAAACAAGACTCTCTACAATAATTTAAATGCTCACACAAGCACCCAGTTGTATCACAGACAGAAGTCATTGGAGTATTTTCTCAGTTATTCTGTATTATGACAACACACAGCAGACTGAATTGAACAGTAACACCATGCAATAAACCAAAGGTTGAAGAAATCATAAACACATTAAAAGTAATGCTAAGACAACTTTTTTTTTAATTAAACATATTTTTGATTCATCTAGTCAGATTTTTATACCTTCACACTCAGTAGTGAACTCACCCCTTCTTTGATTTTCATGTACTTGTCATTTAAAATTTCCTCTCACTGTTAGTTTCATTTCAAAATGATTCCACAACAACTTTTACAGATTTTGTAAGTTTTTTACCTTTTGTTATATGCTCTATCTTGTGAAGGAATAATACTTTGCAGAAGTCAACTGTCATATTGTGCATTCTGATCACCACAAATTTACTTCACTCATTCCCAACTATAAAACTATTTTTATTCTTTAGTGTGGAATTGAATCTTCGTCTAACAACAAACATCAGCAAAGCTATTGAAATAATATATTTTCTCCACAAGTGCTTATTTAAAGGAGAAAAGGGATTAAAGACTGTAGAAATCTTTCTTGCAACATGTTGGATTTGATTTGAGGAACACATTTTACCTTAATATTTCTGTGGATGGAAAACTTCCTCACATTTTTTCCCCCCATCTTGCCCTCTATCACACCTTTTTTTCATTGATTATGACACCTGAGTGACCAATGCATCAACTGAGCGAAGTTAGCCAAGCTCCTCTATCAGTCAGCCTCTAAACGTAACCACCAACGACAGGGTGTTCAAGCGTCATTGGTCTGTAGGTAGAAAAAGCTGACTAGCTCTGTGCTGATGGTGCATCTGCTAACTACAGATAAGGCAAGATCACATAGGACTCATGCTATAGGATGTTGAGCAGTGATCAGATTATGACAATTTGGGTAAATACCCTTAAATCGAATACCTTACGGAAAATGAACACTTAGCTGCTTCATTCAAGCTTTTTCCAATTTGTGTTCGTAAGACATTGTGGAATGACATTCTAATTTTAATTTTATGTCTAAAAATATTTTTCTTTCATAACTATAAATATTTGTAATACAGACCTGGAAAGTACTCTAGTACAGAGGTTTCAGAGTATATCATGGAGTGAAGTTATACTTTCCCTTTTTATTAAATGAACGGCTGAAAGGAATAATGAACGTGGCTCAGTCAGCCTCCTGTGGATTTTGTCAATAGAAAGGAAATCACCAGATGGAAGAAAGCTGCCATAGTAAATGTATCCCAAATTCCATTCCAACTTTGCCATGCAGATCCAAAGCTCTGAAGTTCCCTATTTCCATTATGGTGGTGGAGAAAAGGGAATTGATTATTGCAGCGTTGTGATCTCTGGGTTCCAGAGCATTTCTTTGGGCCTTGCAGGCAAGACACCACCAAATTCCCTGCTGTGTTTTGAACTGGACTCTAGGGGCTCAACACTGGTGTAATGCTTCTGTCCCTTCCCCTCTGTTTCTGCTCTTCTCTTGGCCTAGATGACTTTACATTTAATTTGTTCCATAATTGAGTGTGTTTATTACCATGACAAAAATTCTTATTTCAGGATACAAAAATATCTGAAAACAAAAGCATACGTTAAGGCAGACAGCACATATCTATGTCTCCATTCGGCCGGGGCCATCGCAGCTGAGGCTGAGCTGATGTGTCCATGGGGGAGACAGAGTGGGATGTTCTTTGTTCTGTATAAATATGTGGGACAGAATTTTGAAGCTTTATCAATAATTGATAAAGCTTCAAAACATGACTTGTGATATGAATTCAAAACATGACCTGTGGTGTGGGTTCCAGCAGCTTCCCGTATGGCACTGAGTTATCAAAGGATTAGACAGTCCTAATTCTAAGGCACCCTGGAAGCAATCAAGTTACTTATATATGACAGACTCCTGTATTTTTGAGTCACTGGCCTACAGAAATACTTCTCTAGCACATTCATACATACAGCTGATGAAAATGTAGTAAAGATATATAAAACTTACATAATCATGAAAGGCTTTTGCTTCACTTGAGTGCTCACATGTTTCTCGTCTTTCTGGAGCTGCACAGTAGAGATCCCAAAATACACTGCAAGTTAAGAAGTTACAGATATGATGAGAGGAAAATCATTATAATTTTTATATAGACTTTATGGAGTACACCACACATATATGTGTATAAATAGAAATAGTCATACCACTTTCTAGCCAAGAGCTGAAAGCACTTACCTCCATGAAAGAATTAAGCTTTGTAAAATGTCTGTGAAGAATAAAGCCCTATTATCTGATCTTCTGAGGCAAGCAGTGCTGTATTCCTTTAAAACCGCAGTAGAGTAAACTCAGAAGCAAGTCTAATATATCAGCTTTTGGAGTTTAAAGCAAATTACTACAGCTCTGCATTTAACCTCATAACTCTGTGACTGCTGCAATTTACTGCCACAAAGCACTGGAAGGGAGAGATTCCTAAGATAATACTGGGAAAAGGCAAGAAAATGAAGAGAATGCTGGGAGTTCTTCCAAGGTCCAATACTGTCCTTTAAACAACTGCGCCTAGAGAAACACATGTATGGATAAGAATAGGAAACAGAAGGGCATGCCGTCTTAAAGCTCTGGCTGCTACTGACGGAAATGAGGGTACTCCAATAAATCTCTCCCCTGTCTTTAAAACACTTCTACGTGAACGGATGTACAACTCTAACATGCTACACGTATCTCTGAAGTGTTAAGAAACAGTATGCAAGGTACTTAGCTGTGATAGCAGTGTCAGCCACAAAGTTTCTAGAATAAAATTATCAATATGCTAGAACAATTAAAATTATAAAATTTGTCAAGAGTTTCATTTTGTGTCTTTATTGTTTTAGGCATAATCCTCTGTATCTCAGTTCAGCACCACAGCACAGAATTGTGCAAAATTTAACCACTCTGCTGCAAACAACTAAAATTAAGAATAATGCCAATATCAGAGATACACAGGAAATGTTCGCCTCCTCAGGCTTCCACCCCTCAGTTAATACAGCTAAACA